ATTCAAACTGAGGCCCATTCTTCCACTTTCTAACACCACAATGTCTATCATTTCCTGTAATTCTTTCTGACTTGTTGCTATCAAGACTGTGTCATCAACATAACGTAAATTGTTTATATTGTGCCCACCAACCACAATTCCGGGCATACTAATTAAAGATCTCATTGTATATTCACTGTATATTGAAAACAAATCAGGTGACAGTACACATCCTTGTCGTACGCCCCTCTTTATGCTTTGAAATGTACCTAAACAGTTGTTTATTCTTATAGCTGCTGTTTGCTGCCAATACATATTCTTTATTATTCGTAGATCTTTCCCATCAATGTTTAATTTTTCTAACAGTTTGATTACTTCTTCATGCTTCACACAGTCAAATGCTTTTGTATAGTCTATGAAGCATAAGTACAAATCAGTCTTTACTTCTATAGCTCTTTCTGACAATGTCCTTCGGATGTAAATGGCATTGTTTGTACCTTTTCCTTCTACAAATCCACATTGTTCATCGCTGATTTCTGGTTTAATTTTGTTTCTTATTCTTCTCATAATTATTCTCAGTAAAATCTTAGTCATGTGACTCATAAGACTTATTGTGCGATGGTCTTCACATTTTAAAGTGCCTGGTTTCTTCGGCAGAGCTATAAATATGGATTTTAAAAGGTCATTCGGAATATACCCACTGTTATAAATATCATTTAAAAGTTTAGTTATTATTTCAATTCCAAAATCTCCCAGTGCTTCGATTTCTTCCAGTGAGATGTTGTCTGGCCCGGGTGCTTTTCCTTTCTTCATATGATGTATTGCATCCTCAACTTCAGCAGTCATTATTGGTGGACCATCATTGTTGGTCTGCAGTTCTACATCTGGTCTATTATCATCATACAATTCCCCTATATACTCTCTCCATCTGTTAATTATATTACTATGTCCCATTAATAAGTCACAATTTTTTTTATTTCAAACATCCAGTGCTGTTACGTGTCATCTTTCCTGTTAACATATTTATCTGTTGGTACATGGAATGTGAGTCTTTCCTTTGATTTTCCCCAATCTCGGTACACATTTGATTCAACCAAGCTTCTTTAGCCACTTTGCATTTGTTCACTATTTCTTTTTGTATTCTAGAGTATTCTTCTTTATCATTCTTTTTCTTCATTCTTTCATCCATCAACTGCAGAATTTCGGTTGACATCCATTTCTTTTTTGCAACTCTATGGGTTTGTAGGATTGTCTCTTTTGATGTCTGCTGAATTGACTCACGCAACACATCCCACTGTTCATCAATAGCCTGTATAATTTCCATTGCATTATACCGGTTTTGTACAGTTACATTGTATTGTTCCTTAATTTCTTTATCCGTTCTAAGAATTCCTAAATTTAACTTGATGTTCTGTGGTGTTTTTCTAATGTTCTTTAGTTTTATTCTAATTTTTTCTACAATTGGAACATGGTCACTAAAGCAGTCTGCCCCTGGTCTAGTTTTTGCTCCAACTAAGCTGCTCTGGAATCTTCTTGAAATCAAAATATAATCAATCTGATTGCTGACATTATCACCAGGACTTTTCCAAGTCCACAATCTTCGAGGATGGTGTTTAAACCAGGTGTTACCTATTATCATGCTGCGCTACTCAGCCCATGCTATTAATCTGTCACCTCTCACATTCTTTTCTCCTAGTCCATAGCCACCCGTTATTCCGTACACTTTTTCACTTCCTACTTTCGCGTTGAAATCTCCAAGTACCATTGTTACTTCACAATTTTTGCATTGATCAACAGCCATGTATAACTCGTCATTAAATGCGTCAATATCTTCCTCTGAACTATCTGCTGTTGGAGCATAAATCTGTACTACCCTTGTGCATACAGTTTTTATTTCTCTGTCATCTGACATTCTTTCAATATGACCCAACCATTTCAGTCTATTAGCTCTCATGATGTCAGTGATCATTAGTGATTGAAACAGACATCTGATTACTCCTGTTGTTAATTACGCAGACACTTTTTGATGATGTCATAATTGTTTATTTGTTGTGCATTCTCGCATACTGAAACTTACTCTTAACAACAAATGACGTCATTATTCAACTGTGTTTTGGGGAAAATATTTGGGCCATTAGCATTGCAAGTATACCAGGGACAATACTACTCAAAGGAAATGTATACTATATGTTAGTGGCGATTAGATGAATAGCATTGGTGTTGATAACTGAGCACAGTTCAAGGTAATGTTGGTTACTTTATTTAATAATGCAACTAGCACTGTTCGGCATGTCTTCGAAAATGTAATAACCGTACCTCATTCAAGTATGTACGTTAGTCGTTAGTTCTAAGATAAGTTTTTATAGTTTCACTGTAATAGCATAGTAAAGTAATAATAATACAAAAATAATTTGAATGTAAAGAGCCCTTTTCCACGGCTTTAGACATATTGGGCATATAGGGCTAGACCTGTATTTTATCGATCAATGTGCCGGTTGCCTTTACATCCAGGACTTCCCTTTGTACCCAGTTAAAGCTAGGTCGACCCGGAAACCAAGGTCATTGTTCAGGAGAAGAAAGAATCAGCTCTGTTCGGATTTGAACCCACGACATTTCGGATCCACAGACAATCATCTAGCCGTTACATCATGGTGGTTCCAGTCACATTATTGTCTGAATGTGTGTGTGTGTGTGTGTGTGTGTGTGTGTGTGTGTGTGTGGAAAAAGAGAAAAGGGGGGGGGGGGGAAGAACTGGTTCAGCACTGTTAAAAGATATGCCTTACAAACCTAACATTACTGCATCTTTTTTGTTTGTGAACAGACATCTCAACAAAAACATATCATTTTTTTAAAAAATATCATCATATTATCTCATTAATTTTCATAATGGCTGTTCACCAGTACAGTATGTATAAGTCCCCACCTGCCTAGCTTTACACCTACCTATTTATCTACTTGATACATACATGTGTACATACATACATGCATGTATTCATACATACATAATGCATTCATTAATACCATCAGACAGGCAGACATACAAGCAGGCAGATAGAGACATTTGAATATATCAACAGCCTGCAGGTTTATAGAAACATACACAATAAATTTGAACATATCAACAGCCTTCAGGATCATATAAACACACACAATGAATGTGAACATATCAACAGCCTGCAGGATCTAAGAAACACACACGAGACACTTCGAACATATCTACAGCCTGCATGATCATAGAAACACATACGAGAAATTTGAACATACCTACAGCCTGCAGGATCATGGAAACACATACGATAAATGTGAACATGTCTACAGCCTTCAGGATAGAAAAAAACACACACGAGAAATTTGAACATATCTACAGTCTGCAGGATTAAAAAAACAGACACGATAAATATGAACATATCAACAGCCTGCAGGATTATAGAAACACATACGATAAATGTGAACATGTCTACAGCCTTCAGGATAGAAAAAAACACACACGAGAAATTTGAACATATCTACAGTCTGCAGGATCATGGAAACACATACGATAAATGTGAACATGTCTACAGCCTTCAGGATAGAAAAAAACACACACGAGAAATTTGAACATATCTACAGTCTGCAGGATTAAAAAAACAGACACGATAAATATGAACATATCAACAGCCTGCAGGATTATAGAAACACATACGAGAAATTTGAACATACTACACCCTGCAGAATCGTAGAAACACACACAAGAATCTTTAAATATATCGTCACCCTGCAGGATTGTAGAAACACACACAAGAATCTTTAAATATATCGTCACCCTGCAGGATCGTAGAAACACACACAAGAATCTTTAAATATATCGTCACCCTGCAGGATCGTAGAAACACACACAAGAATCTTTAAATATATCGTCACCCTGCAGGATCGTAGAAACACACACACAAGAAACTTTAAATATATCGTCACCCTGCAGGATCGTAGAAACACACACAAGAATCTTTAAATATATCGTCACCCTGCAGGATCGTAGAAACACACACAAGAATCTTTAAATATATCGTCACCCTGCAGGATCGTAGAAACACACACAAGAATCTTTAAATATATCGTCACCCTGCAGGATCGTAGAAACACACACAAGAATCTTTAAATATATCATCACCCTGCAGGATCGTAGAAAAACACACACAAGAATCTTTAAATATATCGTCACCCTGCAGGATCGTAGAAACACACACAAGAATCTTTAAATATATCGTCACCCTGCAGGATCGTAGAAACACACACAAGAAACTTTAAATATATCGTCACCCTGCAGGATCGTAGAAACACACACAAGAATCTTTAAATATATCGTCACCCTGCAGGATCGTAGAAACACACACAAGAATCTTTAAATATATCGTCACCCTGCAGGATCGTAGAAACACACACAAGAATCTTTAAATATATCGTCACCCTGCAGGATCGTAGAAACACACACAAGAATCTTTAAATATATCGTCACCCTGCAGGATCGTAGAAACACACACAAGAATCTTTAAATATATCGTCACCCTGCAGGATCGTAGAAACACACACAAGAAACTTTAAATATATCGTCACCCTGCAGGATCGTAGAAACACACACAAGAAACTTTAAATATATCGTCACCCTGCAGGATCGTAGAAACACACACAAGAATCTTTAAATATATCGTCACCCTGCAGGATCGTAGAAACACACACAAGAATCTTTAAATATATCGTCACCCTGCAGGATCGTAGAAACACACACACGAATCTTTAAATATATCGTCACCCTGCAGGATCGTAGAAACACACACGAGAATCTTTAAATATATCGTCACCCTGCAGGATCGTAGAAACACACACAAGAAACTAAGAATACATTTACAGGCTGCACTAACATAGAAACACACAAGAAACTGAATACGTCTACAATATTCAGGACCATAGAAACAAACATTATAGACCTTTAATATATCTACACTTTGCAGGACCATAGAAATACCTAGAAGACCAGCAAAGCGACAATGACATTGTGCAGTCAAGTGTGTCTGCTAATGTGGAAAAACTGGCTGATACAGAAACGTCGATTAGCTATCTCGATTTTCGAGGTGATCCTGCCTGCACTATTCAGTTGTCTCTTACCCCTCGTCCGTGATGCAGTGACACCGTCATTTTTTCCCAATCTGACATACTTCGAGAACGAGACGATCGTCACACATCCCAGCTTCTTCCCCAAAGATGGAATCATCGGCTACGCACCGGCATCAAATGCAACCACAGATGTCATGAGCCATGTCTTCCTATTACTGATGAGAAACATGCCGCCCAGCCAAAACCGTGAGTGCTCGGTTACATGTAATATTAAGGTAGCGAAAACTGCGGCAGCGCACTGCTAAAAGATATTCTATTAAAACCTGCACTAGGACTGATTCCTTTATAAATTACATGGGCTTTCAGGTCCACCCACTTTAAATGGGTACTAAGAAAAGTAAAGGCAATAGCGATGTAAACTGCATCACCTATTGTGCTTATTCTTCTTCTTTGCACTTTGTTTCCAGTGAAGTATCTGCCTTAAATCAACTCACGCCATGCCTTCCATCCCTTGGTATCGCATACCGCTCGTATCATGCCCTCGCCCACATTCTAACGTCACTCTCTAGCTTCCTTAATTATGCGTGTTTTGGTCTGCCCTTATTTCTGTATCCGTGTGGGTGTTCGGTGCAAAGATATTCTAGTTATATTGTTCTCATGCTTCCACAAAATGTATACTGTATTCAACACCAGCGTCTTTTGCATACATTTTGATTCTTTTGTTCTCTCGCAAAACCCCACATGAGCGATTCTGTCACACCATTCAGTTCTAGGCCTTCACAAGTGAATGCATGTTTGTAATTTATTAGTAAATGTTCTACGTTGATATCCGTGTTACATCTCCTTACAGCATTACTGATTAATATTAAAGCTTAAAATTTTAGGTTTAGTTTTAATTCTTTTTGACCCCAAAACAATCTCTTAGGGCTGTGAAAACTCATCTTGCCTTTTGTAACCGTATTTACCATCTATATCAGTTCCCTCATCTTTATCTATATTACTGCCCGAAGAGGTGTTTGAGAATCAGCATCTAACAAACCGGGCCTACCTAGCTATGGTCTGCCTCATGCAGCAACTGTCTCGAGATGTTCATGCTAACTCTTCGCCTACCACACTGATTACCAACATCGTTCTCTTCTTCTCATACGTCTCTCTTTGCCGGATCAACTCCTATTTCATACTTTACACATTCTTACACTTTTTATTTCATCTAGTCTCGTATCCTATATCAATATTCGTTCATATTAGTACTCAGAATGCATATTTTGTCCAGACCGAGTGTTTCTTTAGCTATCTTTTTTAAAGCTAATAAAATCCGCCCTTTAATTCCCTCGCATTCATACATATCCAAGCGAGTCCCTGTAATACTGACATATTGCTGCTTGGTATCAGCAATGTATCTCAGTCATCACTTGGTTCTCGCAAAAGTCTTACTTTTCGTAGTGCATTCGGAATTACAGCATGGTCCATGGCTCGCCCACCCTCCACAGTTAATTTACCTGCAAGCCCATCAGCATGCTCATTTCCTTGCACGCCTGCGTCCCTGGTACAAATATGATACTAATATGCTTCAGCGCAAACCGCTTTAGAGCTCCACCCACTGTCTTCGGACCCAGTCTTTCTCCATCTTCCTTGTCATACTCATTGAGTCAGTGATAAAACATTCACTGGAAAAAGTCTATGTTTCCAGCCATATTATTGCTCTGGTCACCTCCATATTCAGACTATTTGTGGTCATTGCGACAGCACCAGAATCTTGCTTGACAATTCAAACTACAGCGGGCACCGTAAAAACCCAAGAGCTTCTCATATGGCGAATTACTGACCCATCTGCATAAATGATAGCCTTCCCCCCTTGTAGAGAACACTGGAAAATCAAAACGTGCACTTCTGCCTCAACAGCGGCTGAACTTTCTTGTCTGCATTTTCCATTCAGACAGATGCAAACAGAAAAGATTGTGCCACATTCTGTTGGGACGTGTACCCATTCCTCACCAGGTTCTAGGTAATATGTCCTCGGCCTTGAACATCCACAATAGTCCTTTTTTTAACCTGCTGCCTTTTTTCTTCTTAATTGCACCATGTAGGGGGTGTCGTGTGTCCTCGTTCACTCTGAGGTAGGCACCTTTTCGACAAATTTAAATTCCGTTCTCCATGGTTAAAAAATCAAGAAGGCAGCGCATTGCCCTGCAAGATGTATCTCTTTACATCCAAGTATAATGCTTGTGGCAGAGAGTCAGGATCGCTATCGCATACTTAAAGTTAGGTTAGTTGCGTATCCTTTGCAGGACGTTGCAGAACCAGTCCCAACAGCTCCTGGCTGTTGTGTGGTTTTTCTAGGCAAATTTACGTCCAGTAGTTTGCCATTGCTTACTGGACGGTCGGCTTTCTTGATACCTCTGTCGAAACCAACACAAGGCGCATGGCCCGCAGCTGGGATGGAAAAACACTGGTAGAGTGGGCTAAAATGAGTTATATGATGACTGGACACACCTGGTTAAACAATACATGGGGAAAAGTCCAGATAAGAAAACACTCAATCAAAATGATTATATACTACTTGACAAAACGTTTAGAAGTGATTTCTGAGACGAACGTTACGAAAACCTTAGACGGCCAAAGTAACTAACAATGATTGATTGAAAGAAGCTAATGAAAGTATGTCTCCATGTTCAGCAATAAAAATTAGGGAAAAAACAGTTCTTTTGCCACATAATGAGAAAAAAGGCAAAGTAAAACATCTTGACAACTGGAAAGACCAGTGGAAACAGGGGTAGAGGAAGATCAAGACAGATAATGCTGGATGGACTAAAACGATGGCATAAAAGGATACCACCAAGAGAGCTGTTCCAGGCAACCAGGGATCGTTATCTGTGGAGATCCATGAGCGCCTACGCCATTTGGCAGAGCCCATGATGAAATTTAACTTGAGGTTTTGTAGGGTCAGTTAGGTAAATGACTCCACATCTTGAAGGAAGACATCAACAATTAAAACTGGATTACCTCTTGCCTGATTTATTGTCCTCATTTTCCTCTTGCCTTATGGACGACGTCCGGTACAAATGAAGGACAGCCAAGATAGTCCCTACAGCATTTAGGTTAGTTTTTACATCTGGCTGTGGCCTGCTAATGCGGTTTCCATACACAGATGAAGTTTATTATGTTGCTGCATAAGCTACTGAGTTGAGTATTTGATGCAGCATTGTGAGCTGTGTATTTAGTATAGGATGCCTTTCGTTTGTGGTCTACCTGTTCTGTCGTCATATTAAGAACATTAGGACAGTCAGTCTGCATATAAACTGGCGGAAGGGAACCAACCAGATCCGAGGCCACTCCTTCGAATGGTATAGAGGTCATGGATCTTTCGCCCACATGTACTGGTTCTGTCCTACCCTTGAGATATAGTATAGTATAGTATAGTATAGTATAGTATAGTATAGTATAGTATAGTATAGTATAGTATAGTATAGTATAGTATAGTATAGTATAGTATAGTATAGTATAGTATAGTATAGTATAGTATAGTATAGTATAGTATAGTATAGTATAGTATAGTATAGTATAGTATAGTATAGTATAGTATAGTATAGTATAGTATAGTATAGTATAGCTATATATGGGCGCTAGGCAGCGGCACTGTTCGAAGCAGAGGCAAATTTTTTGCTTCTGCCGGACGGTGGCCGATGCATTTTTGCTCCATTTGTAGACTGGATATAGTTTCGTCGCCCAGCTTCTGAGTTGAATGCATGGAGTGACACTGTGAGTTGCGGATTGCATTTGGAATGTTTTTCGACTGTGACCAACGTGGTGGTGTGAATTGTAGATTCAGAAAATGGCGCGATGCCTGTCGTGCAATGTTGGCGGTGCCCGTATGTGATTAAAATTAATTGCGTGGGCAGCTGTTGATTTGTTGGCGACAAGTTCTGCTATCATCAATGATGAACTGCATTTCTAATGTTGGACTGATTGTGTTAGCACTTCGGATGGCTACTGTATGCTTTAATGCGAGTGTATGCTAGATATGCTGAGACAGCAGTCTGTCAATCTTTCCACAACGGACTGTGATAAACATTCTGTGTGTTTTTCGTTGGCACAGGAGCGGAGCAAAGATGTGGTGACCCGTCTGCTATGAAGCTGAAACTGAGACTACCAGACTACCAGACTACCAGACATAGTATAGCCACACTGGAGTCTGAAGCACACGCAGGCAGTCAGGACGCCAAAACGAACAAATATAAAAGCCACTTAACTCTAGTGAAACAGAGTATTTTAATATCTTCTACTCTTGACTCGTGCTCTACTCTTGAGAAAGCGGTCACGTCTGTATGTAAATGAATGCCTGGGCAGCCTAGCGGGTTTACTATTGCCTGGTGGTTGCCAGGCTAACAAGGATGCCAAGGATGGTCCAGGGAAGGTACGGCAGATGGTGCGATGTTGACCGCATCGTACAATCGTGGTTTTGTCCTGTTTATGACACATGTTGGAACCTGTTCGCAACAAATGCTGATCGCTAAAGAATGAGCAAATTCTAATTCATACATGCTATTATCTTGTAACAGGCGTTTGATGAGCGTAATGCAGTTACTGTTAACCTTCCTAATACTGCGACTCTTTAATACAGTTCCTCATGTTGTGGTGACCCCCAACCATAGAATTATATCGCTGCTATCTCAGTGAATATAAATATTTTCCAATGGCCTTAGGCGACCACTGTGAAAGGGTCGTTCGACCGACAGGTTGAGAACCACTGGTGTAATGCATTCATGTTTGCCATTTGTGTGTTCGTTTCATTACCCAGTTGTTTAGACACCAAGTTAAACCCCTCCCACTTGTTCTCCCTTCCATCCCCGTAAATAAAGACTGAGATGGTTAGGGAATATAGAAATATTGGCAGACAACAGGGACAGAAAACTGCATAGACAAAAGGGTTGAATGTGAGTTTACTATAACGACAGACTAAGATTACTGCCGAGAGTTAATAATCAGGCAGATCAATAGACACTAAAAATTAGCCAACTGAAAAGAGAAGGCACAGCACATAGATGAAAAGATAAGAAGAAGGTGGAGGAGGAGGTTGGAGATATGGAGGGCGCAAAGAAGAAGAAGAGAAAGAAAAAAGAAGAAGGAGGAGGAGAAAAACAAGAAGAAGCCCTAATGATGAAAGCATGTACCCCACAAGGGAGTCGCCGTGGCGTAGAGGCAAGAAGCTCGCGTGCGGATCGGAAGGTCGTGGGTTCGCTTCCTGGCGGAGCCAGACTTTAAAAAAAAAATGACCTTGACTCCCAGGTCGACCCAACCTTAAGTGGGTACCGGGCGCAGTCCAGAGAAACAAAGACAGGACTGTGTGATGCTGACTACATGACCCATCTTGTGTCAATTGGCTTATAAAAATATAGGGCTAGCCCTAAATGCCCTATACGCCTAGAGGCAGGGAATAGGGACCTTTACTTTTTACCCACAAGCCTCATGAGAATGAGGAAGGAAAAAAACAAGGTCGTAGCGTGTCTGTTTGGCTTATAGTATAAGTACTTATAGTATAGTAACCCTTTGGGTTAAAGGTTTCGGATGTTGCAACATGTCGTCGACAGAATTATGGTAGCTTGTGCTTTGAATGACCTGTTGAAGAGAGAGGCCCAACTCTCTGACATAAAACTTTGTGCAATGAAATTGACCCCCAACGTCTTTAAATGACCAGTTTACAAATTTTAAAACTGTTTATTCAGATTCCTAACTGCGGAGTTTCTAGCTGTGTGTGACACACACTGTCGACAGAGACCGAGCCTAATGGTATGAAACCTGTGGATTCTAAAGACATTGATTAAAGACAGTATAGTGGATAAACTAGTTTACCAGTTTAAGAAAAACAAATTTGCTTGTATCTTTTTTCTAAGTTTCACTGAAAGGTTTTACGACAGAAAAGGAAAGCGTCACCTTCTACGAAGACAATGTTTCACATATACAGCACATCGTTGTTTTTCACGGAGTCGACAGCAAAAGCAACCTGATGCCTAAAAAGGTTTCCTTCTCTATTCTACCTCATCTACGAAACAAATTTTGGTATACGAATCTGATGTACCCATTCCTTGACAATAAGATGTTTGAAAGACGACAGAGTAAGTATGAGTTTGAAAATATATCTTGTTTTCCTATTCAACAAAGGTAAGGGTTACAGACTGAAAATAGGAAGGTGTTGGATGGCGCAAGCCGAAGACAAATCAAACAAGTGTGTAGGCTTAATAAGACTAGGCGAGGAGAATAGTGGTCCAGAATGTCCCAACAAAAGTCAGACTTGTGTAGGTTTCTGATCACAATGGGCCGTGAGTGTATGGAATGGCCAGGGGGCGTTGCAGAATCTGGAGTTGGACAAATGATTAACTTCATTTTTCGCCTAAGTGATGTGATAATCTAGACGGCTGGCTCTGTGTTGAGAGGCAGGCGAAGCTCATGGGGATTCTTAGTAAAAGTGAATGGACATCGCTTGGTGCACAAAGCCTGGCATCTTATTTGAGAATGGAAGTTGAGGCAGTAAATGCAGCCTTTCACTGACTTGAGAATCAGATGTACACATAAATAGTAATTGCAACCGACTCACAGAGCCTGTTGAGAAAGATGGAGACCGGTATGCTCCACGAAGAGTGAAAAGCATTACTTCTGAGGCCCCGGGTAGTTAGCGTCCTTTGGATATTTTATCCAGAATATGCTGGCGTATTAGGAAATGAACAGGCAGATGCATTGACTGGTTCTGCAAAACTTTGTGATGAACTGATGTATAACAAGCTAGATATTGTAAAGGCTCTTGGGGAAGCAAAGATGGATCATAACGATTTGAGGAAAATTATGCTGCTAGGACTGACCAGGGGATCTGGTAGACGATCAGCACTCACGGAAAAGATGAGACGGATAAACAATCAGAGTGCTATTGATACCACTGAAATTGGAACTCTGCGTCTGCTGCTGAAGATGGGGACGAAGCGATTATAGGAATGTTCCGAGTGCTGTGATGTCGATTCTTAATTAAACATCAACAAAGGTCAAGGCTAATATTACTGTATAAAGTGTGTGTTCACCTTAATCCCCATGTGACGTGCCGATAAGAGTTTCGGTCATGGTTCGTCATCCCACTCGATCAAGGATTTACTGACCATCATCATCATCATCATCATGTGCCTTGCCGACTGGCGTGTGCGATCAGGCCTCTCCACAATCTGCGATCTCCTGAATCATGAATCAGTTCGTGTGCCGACACACTTCCATGCCATGCAACAAGACTGTCAAGAATCTTCTCTCGTTGTCTTCCTCTGTCCCTTCCTTCCACAGATCTTCCAGTGGTCACAACATGTTCTATTTTCCCTTTTCTCATAACATGGCCGAAAAATGATGACTGTCTCCTTTTGATGTCCGTGATAAGTTGTCTTTGGGCTCCTGACCAGTTTAATGATTATGTCCTGTCTCATTTATGTGGCCAAAATTACCTGGTTATCTCTTGGTCTCCGCCTTACATTAGGACCCACCTATCTGGCTAAGAGTTCCAGGTTCTTATCTGTTGGTGTTTACCGTATATCGGGAGCCACCTATAATCCAAGAATTCCAGGTTCTTATCTGTTGGTCTCTACCGTATATCGGGAGCCACCTATAATCCAAGAATTCCAGGTTCTTATCTGTTGGTCTCTACCGTATATCGGGAGCCACCTATATGGGCAAGAATTCCAGATTCTTATCTGTTGGTGTCCACCTTTTATCAGGAGCCACCTATATGGGCTAGAATTCCAGGTTCTTATCTGTTGGTCTCCACCGTATGTCGGGAGCCACCTATATTAACAAGAATTCGGGGTTATTGTCTGTTGATCTTCACCATATGCTGGAAGCCATGAAGGGGCTACACGCTTGCCTGCCGATCCCGAAGTTTGTGCTTTCGAACACACTTTGCGTCGGATTTGTAAAAACGACCTTGGGTCCCAAGTCGACCCAGCCTAAAATGGCTACCGGGAAATGTCTCGGAAAGAGATTGCAGCCCACGTGATGTTCATGGCAGCATCCATGAAGGATCGGCTGATCTATAACATGTAGGTATATCACCAATGCTTCTTCATCATCATCATCTTCTTTTTCTTCTTCTTCTTCTTCTTCTTCTTCTTCTTCTTCTTCTTTTTCTTCTTCTTCTTCTTCTTCTTCTTCTTCTTCTTCTTCTTCTTCTTCTTCTTCTTCTTCTTCTTCTTCTTCTTCTTCTTCTTCTTCTTCTTCTTCTTCTTCTTCTTCTTCTTCTTCTTCTTCTTCTTCTTCTTCTTCTTCGTTTTCTTCTTCGTGTTCACCAGCTGTAAACTTTGGTGGAAAGTTCTGGTTGTTCGCCCACTTCTGGATTGCAGTCCTGTTCCAGAACCTGAGTATTGCGTGTGCATCCTTTTGACAGATCTGACACATTTGTGTGCAGACTGTTGGCTTCTAGCCTCTCAGGCAGATGCACTCCGACTTCGAAAGAGGCTCCCAATTAGTCGACTCTTACGACATGCTTTTGGGTAGGCAGTGAATCTATTCTTGTTTTCCCTATAATAGGGCCCCGGAACCCACACGGGGGACCAATGCTTGAATTGCCAGTTATAAGAATTGGGCAGTCCTTATTTTTGTTCCTTAGTATTACCCACCCCCCCCCCCCCTCCCTGTTCAGTTCACGAGTGCAATTTTTACGGAGAGAATCTGAGTATAGCCGCTAGAGCTTCGGAGGTTGTGCTCTGTATCCACTGCTTATGCTGCTCCCTTACGGTGCCGCCTGATCAGTCGCTACTCTGTTTCCTAGCAAGGCACTGCCCTGGCCGCGTCTATACTCCCGGTCTCAAACTGTCGCGTAAAAGTCTTACTGGCTATGTGCAAAGTGTGTACCAAAATCGTTTAGCGGCTACGTCAGTAAGCAGACATTTTATTTGAAGTCAACTTTTCGATATATAATCACGTACCTATGTGGGATGCAAATTTTTGTTTTTTGAAGCCCCACCCTGGCTTCTGCCGGGGACCCTGAATATAGTCGGGCCATAAATATAGCCTAAGCCATAGATATGGCCATAACGGCTGAAAAGATGTTTCTGGGACCTCTCCAAGGGTGTTCCTCATCCGCCTGGTGGCATTTTGTGTCACCGGGTGTTTATCGCTTGTGTGATGTCCTGGTGGGGTACAACTACCTACCTACCTACGTGAAGTTACCTTACTAACACTGTCCCAATACGGGACGCCTTTAAAAAAAAAAAGCCCTTCCTGGCTGTCGTTCGGGGCCCTACTATGATTTAAAGGTTAAACTGGGTTCCCATGACCTGCACCTGGGGGGAGAGGAATTCTCATCAGAATTGTGGCACTTTGTGTCACCGGTTGTTTTCGTTGCTTCAGATATTCGTTAACTGGAAGGAGAGTGTTACAGGTATGTACAACATTTCAATCATCAATCAAGTAGAATAATTGATTAAAAAAAATACGAGAGAAACAATATATTGCACAAATTATTGCTTGGCATATTTCTATGAATTTCGTCAGGTGCATTGCTACAGATCTGACTGACATCTCCTTTTTCTTAAAGTCCATGGCGTGTGGCATTGGTAGTCATGTCTATCCAAAACCTTCAGTCTCGTGTACTTTTAGTCGATTCTGATACAGATGATCCTAGATGCCATGATGTCAAACTGCCCAGCATCTTTTCTCCAGGTCTCCCTCTGCCTCTCCTCCCCTCCAACTTTCCTACTGTCATCGTGTACTCCAGTTTTCTTCTCAGCACATGACCAAAGAATGTAGATTGTCTCTTAGCTTCCAAATAGCTTTCACTAATCTACAAACTATCCGAAATTCACTTTCGTGTATCAAGATAGGATTTACATAGATTTTAAGAATTCTCTTTCTCGTCTGAATTTAAAAAAAAAAAAATTATATCTTTAAAGTAATGTGTGACTTTCTAAAAAGTGTCAATAATCATTATATGTTCATGTAACATAAGTAATAATATACATATTGAGATACAGCAAACTATGTCTGGCCGTGAGTCGGGCAGTATATTGTTTATTTAAACTAACGACGGGAGAAATACTATATTGAATTTAAGCATATCTGTTTCAGTTTACACGAATCGTGCAGTACTGTATCTACAAAGTCTGGTCGGCGAAGCTTTGGCCAGGTATTGGACAGAAAAAGCTGGCAGAAATCCAGATAGCATTGGTTTTGAAGTTTATTCCAAAAGTTTCGTTTGTCCTCCTTACCGTGAGGATCTTTTAGCCAATTTAGTTCAGTCACAACTTCCTTTGTATCTTATTTTAAGCTTCATGCTCAGCGTTGTCATTGGCACAAAGAACATAGTGACGGAGAAGGAGAAAAAACTCAAGGTAAACTGTGTCCATTCATTTGCATTGTTTATTGTTTTGTTGAAGTTTTATATCTGCATATCGCTTCCCTGTTGACCAAAAGGCCTTGTGTTTGATTCAGCATTGGAAGATATGGGGGGAGAGAATACATTGGCTTCCTTGTCGACCCAGCCTAACATTTTATACAAGAAAATATCTCCGAAAAATGAAGTCTGCCAATATCATATTGACTACAACACTCATCCAGTGCCCATTGATCTATAAAATATTGTAAAGCAAAGGACTATTGTCTACGCCTTCAAGGGTAAGGGGCTTATGGGGCTAGACCCATATTTTTTAGACCAGTCGGCACGCAGTGAGTTTGGGAATTTTTTTTTTTTGTTTGAAAAAAAAAACACAGTCAAGGACCCTTTTTAACGCCTTTAGGTGTATAGGGCATATAGGGCTAGACCTATTTTTTATAGACCAGTCGGCACAAGATGGGTGTTGTGGTCAGTATCACGCCGGCCGTCTTTACTTCCCTATGACTGCACCTGCTACCCACTCAAGGCTGGGTCGACCTGGGAGGCAAAGTCATTTTTGGAGAGAAAAAAAAAGTCCGGCTCCGCCAGGGAGCAAACCCACTACCTTCCGATTCGCAGGCGAGCGTCTAGCCGCTCCGCAACGTCGACGGTGAGTGATGTTGTAAATAAAAATCTTGCCGGCCGCCTTTACTTCCCAAAACTTTACGTAGTACCTATTTAATGCTCTGTCGACCTGGGAGGCAAGGTCATTTGTAGCAAGTCCGTTAATAGGGCATGTCATTAAAAGTAAACTAGCTAGGCTTTTTACGTGCTGAGTATTCCTAACAAACGACTGATGGTTCAGATATCAGAAGTCAGGTGACAGTCATAATAAATAAATCCATTTAACGAGCAACAAGTAGCAAAGAACATAACCGTGACATCAAGCTGAAGCATCAGCCTATCTTATATATCGCCTTGGATCAAGGATTATAAAAAAAAAGGCCAACATAAGACACTAAGAAAAAAAGAAAAAAAGAGCTGGAAAATCTATTTAAAGCATAACGGTAGGTGGAATCAGTCGCCGTTAGTGTGAGTTGATTTAAAAACCGACATCACAGCACTCTTCAAGTGCATTCCCATAAGCTCTCCGTGCCCATCTTCAGCAGCCAGCGAAGAGCTCCGATACTAATAGTGCCAGCAGCATTGTGATGAAACGTCCGTCTTGCCTTTTCTCTGAGCCTCGAGCATCTGCCAGAACCTCTCGTCACTCCGACCTGCATCAATCTCACCAGACTGTGGGGATCCATCTGCTCCTTGCCGTTTAGAGAATAAATATCATTGATATTATTTATCACATTATAAAAACCAGATGCTTGCCACAGAGAAGAGACATCATCCTCATCACTACCACTGTCGATGCCACCTTGCTCGTCAATATCCTTCTAAACGACCTCTATTGAATTAAAAGAACGAAATTAGATGACACAAACAAACAAACATATAAATGAGAGAGCTGCGCTGCAGTAAAACGTTTAATGAGAAATATGTGCATTTTATTTTATAGTTTTCATATTTCAGGTTGATTTGCACATAATTGCAGGCGAATATCTAGTTTTCATATTTCAGGTTGAATTGATGATAATTGCAGGCGAATGTCTAGTTTTTATATTTATGTTTCAATTGATGATAATTGTAGTCGAATGTCTAGTTTTCATATTTCAGGTTCAACTGATGATAATTGCAGGCGAATGTCTAGTTTTTATATTTCAGGTTCAATTAATGATAATTGTAGTCGAATGTCTAGTTTTCATATTTCAGGTTCAATTGATGATAATTGTAGTCGAATGTCTAGTTTTTATATTTTAGGTTCAATTGGTGATAATTGAAGTCGAATGTCTAGTTTTCATATTTCAGGTTCAATTGATGATAATTGCAGGCGAATGTCTAGTTTTTATATTTCAGGTTCAATTGATGATAATTGTAGTCGAATGTCTAGTTTTCATATTTCAGGTTAAATTGATGATAATTGCAGGCGAATGTCTAGATTTTATATTTCAGGTTCAATTGATGATAATTGTAGTCGAATGTCTAGTTTTCATATTTCAGGTTCAATTGATGATAATTGCAGGCGAATGTCTAGATTTTATATTTCAGGTTCAATTGATGATAATTGTAGTCGAATGTCTAGTTTTCATATTTCAGGCTCAATTGATGATAATTGCAGGCGAATGTCTAGTTTTTATGTTTCAGGTTCAATTGATGATAATTGTAGTCGAATGTCTAGTTTTCATATTTCAGGTTCAACTGATGATAATTGCAAGCGAATGTCTAGTTTTTATATTTCAGGTTCAATTGATGATAATTGTAGTCAAATGTCTAGTTTTTGTATTTCAGGTTCAATTGATGATAATTGTAGTCGAATGTCTAGTTTTCATATTTCAGGTTCAATTGATGATAATTGCAGGCGAATGTCTAGTTTTTATATTTCAGGTTCAATTGATGATAATTGTAGTCGAATGTCTAGTTTTCATATTTCAGGTTCAATTGATGATAATTGCAGGCGAATGTCTAGATTTTATATTTCAGGTTCAATTGATGATAATTGTAGTCGAATGTCTAGTTTTCATATTTCAGGTTCAATTGATGATAATAATTGCAGGCGAATGTCTAGATTTTATATTTCAGGTTCAATTGATGATAATTGTAGTCGAATGTCTAGTTTTCATATTTCAGGTTCAATTGATGATAATTGCAGGCGAATGTCTAGTTTTTATATTTATGTTTCAATTGATGATAATTGTAGTCGAATGTCTAATTTTCATATTTCAGGTTCAATTGATGATAATTGCAGGCGAATGTCTAGTTTTTATATTTCAGGTTCAATTGGTGATAATTGAAGTCGAATGTCTAGTTTTTATATTTCAGGTTTAATTGATGATAATTGCAGGCGAATGTCTAGTTTTCATATTTCATGTTGCGTGATGCTGACCACATCACCCACCAAGTGCCGATTGGTCTATAAAAATTTAGGTCTAGCCCTGTATTCCCAATACGCCTAAAGGTATGGACAAGGGATAAAAATATATTTCAGGTTTCATTAGTTGTAAATATAGTCAAATGTCTAGTTTTTATATTTCAGGTTGAATTGATCATAATTGTAGGTGAATAATTACATTTCATATTTTAGGCTGAATTGATGTTAATCGCAGGCGAACATCTAGTTTTCATTTTTAAGGTTGAAATGAAAATTGCATCCGAATATCTAGTTTCCGTTGAAGCCGCTTCTGTATTGTGTTGTGGTAGGCGTAAGGCGATGAGTCCCCGCTTCATAGAGATATATAGTTGAGAAACTCAATAATACTAGTTTTGTTTATTTTAACAAGTTTTAAAATTCAGCTGGTGGATGCATCGAAAATACGAGTAGATTGGTTTCGGAACGCCATAGTCAGTCAGTTCGCTGTGAGCAGTCAAATCTACCAGAACCTCGTACTCTGTAGCGTTTTAGTTGTGGTTTTATGTTCACTGAATACATGCAGCTCTTATTTTAAAGCCATCAAGCACCTTTTCTTAAGCTGTTGGAAGTCCAAAATCGTCTTACTAAGCTTCAAGATGCTCTTGAATATGTTTCTGAATTTTGTTTTTTTTTTTTTTTTTGGAGGGGGGGGGGGGGGGAGAGAACAGTGTTATTTTAATTCAAGAATCATTTTATAAGAAGGAAGCAATAGATATTTGTTCCTTTTATTTGAAGAAAAAAAAAACAACCATTCCAACCAATGTCTGTTTCTTTTTTAAAGAGGACACTTTGGCGCATGCGTAAGAGCTGTGGCAGTTTTTCTTTACAATGACGAATTCATCTGACTCTTTTTGCTAACAGATGTCGGCCAAATACATAATCTGCACACCCAGACTTCATCATTTAAAACGGTCGCTAATAGAGGTCCATAAATATGCTGCTATCTCTGAACGCAGTTACATGAAATATGTCAGCCCCACCCACCCACCCCACCCTCAGCAGCAAATACTAATGATGGCTTTTATTATTCACACTAGCCAGGCTCTGTTTATATCCGGTTCAATATTGAACGGATTTCAGGAGAATGAGCGAGAAACTATTCCATTGTGCATTTTAAAGAAGTCACTCCAACATTTAGTTACAGAAAGGTCATGTGACATATTGTGCGCTGGAGGCCTGCGCCCACTCACTCTCATTGTCTGTCCGTCTCGCTCTCGCTCTATAATAAATTTGGAGCTAGTGGCAGCAGAATGATCCGAAGACTGTACTAGGACAGTCGCGAAATTCTATTAATTTTAATTCAGAATTTAATCTCTAGTTTCCTTACTTTGCTTATATTTTTATTTTGTTTCTTAATCTTAAATTCCAATTTTTATTTATTCCTGAAGTGGCCATGCATCCCCTGGAACTGCACTGGGCGCATTTTAAGTTCTGTGAATGCGGAACAGTTTGGCGAGTTCTGATCTATAGCGCCAGTAGCGTGAAAAAAGTTTACTTTTTTTTGCAGGAGTCCATGAAACTGATGGGCCTAACATCGACAGCCTACTGGCTCTCCTGGTACCTGACACTGTTAGTGTACTTGGTTCCAGTCATGGCCATGTACACGATGATGTTTTCACTGCCAGTCTCCAGCGGGGGCCCGGTGCTGTTTAACACAAACGGCAGTCTGTTTTTTGTTATACTCTTGGTTTATGCTCACGCGTTGATCACGTACTGCTCCATGATCAGCACCTTAGTCCAGAAAGGTAAGCAGTCTTTACAGTTTTGTGTCCTCATCCTCAGCTCAGAAGCTAGCGCTAACTTCCAAGTTCCGATGGTACCAGCAACAGTTTATGTACGTTTCTGTCTTTCCATTCCTGTGAGTGCAGGGTGTCTGCCAGATGACCTCATCACTACAGTCGCAATCTTCTCTCAAGATAATACTGATCTAATTAGGAAATGTTGTGTTTGTGTTTGTGGGGTTATGTGTGTGCATGTGCTACGCGCGCGTGTGTCTGTAGCTGCTCTCAAATTTTACAATTGACGTCGCATGCTCTCTAAAAGACAGGCCTCTCTCAAAAGGTGATACCCATATACCTTAGCTTGCTGTCTCGTTTGATGTTTCTATCATAATTGGGACTTTTTAAAGCATAACTTTAACAATCCTATTGTCCAGGGAAAACCACAGAAAGGCCACCCGTTCCTCATCGCTGTGTACCAGCCAGTCACTTTATTCCCTGTTATTAAAAGCTTTTATTTCCTATTTGCAAGAATTCTTCCTAAAAAAATGCATGCATTCCGGTTCCATATTGCTGCTTGTATGCACACTGAAAAGTACTGGTGCGTTTGTAGATATCCGTGGTAGTCTTGCTTTTTTACGTATCCAGAAACCATGAGTTGTAAACCCTTTGGCTCGGTACTATGGATATCGCAACCCTTCGGCCTTGATTCCATTATAGGTACCATTAATCTGGGAGAAATGTGGCTTTTCTGCCTACCCCCGGGAGTGAACCCGGACCACAAGGAGTTCGTCACCCGGCCGCCGCGAAAGTCAGGTTTAACCAACTTCGCTAGAGAGCCGGGCGCCCTTCTCTCTAAGTTTGGATATCAAAACATCGTGTCTGACTCTGTTGTCGGCATCCTCAAAATCAAGTACGGTGACGACTGTCAAATGTTAATTCTGGAACCAAAGTGGCTGCATACTTTACTGACCGGTAACTATTTAAACACTTACGGGAACTTAAAAATTTTTATATAATAATAATAATAATAATAATAATAATAATAATAATATAATAATAATTGTAAAACGTCATTTATTTGTAAACTTCTTGCTTCTCTTATTAGAAAGTGCTCTCGTCTCTTCTAATGAAATGGGCCTTTATTTATATCTGCTTCTTTTTATTATTTCGTCCTTAGCCAGTACAGTCTTTTTCATCGCTGCGTATGTGGTGTGATATTTCTTACTTTTCTTTCTGCATTTCTCTCATCGCTACAGTTATTCTCATTAAGTTTTTCTGAGTTATTAAAACATAGATTGTGTACTGATAATTATTTTTATAACTTTACTAATTCTGTATAATATCATAACTGTTTACTTATTGTCTAATATGTTCTATCTAAACCATATATATAATCCGAAGAAACTGTATGCTGTGTGCATGTGCAAAAATGAATTATTCTTACTTCTATTTTTCTAACGTCTTTAAAGTGGCAGAGTGGCAAGCATCACTTCGAAGGTCCCGGGTAGTTAGCATCGTTTGGATATTTTCTCCAGGTCATGCCGGTGTGTTGGGAAATGAGCAGCTAGCTAGACAGACTGATCGGTTCTGCACCACTTGGTGGTGAACTGTGTATGACAAGCTGGGTGTTGTGAGGGTCCTTTGGGAGCGAGTTAACAGTGCCCAGGCACAGATTGATCATTACGGTCTGAGGAGAATGGCACTGTGAGGAGTAACAAGGGCATCTGGTCAACGCCCGACACTCTGGTGAAAGAGCGAGATTTACAATCAGACAGTTACTGGTACCATCGGAATTTTAACTCTTCACTTGCTGCAGAAGATGGGGACGGAGCGCTTATGGAGGTGTCCTGAGTGCTGTGATGTCGATTCTTAATTCAACATTCAACATTATTGCCTTTGAAAAAAATTATAATTTTTCGTTTACTGAATAAACTGTGTCATATATTACTTCTGTTTTTTTTTTTCTTCTTCTTCTTCTGCAGCTTCCATTGTCCTTCTCGTTTGAAGATCTTGATCTTGTAATTGCTTTGGCTATCTAGTCGTTGACGTTTTCATTTCTTTATGTCTGCTTCATTCTGGTTGTTGATTATCGTCTTCTTGTTTTGTTTCTTTTTTTGATCACTGACATACAAAATATTACTGCTACTGCTGCTTCTCTCTGGTCTTTGTGTTGTTCTTCCGGTCTTCATTTGTCGGACCTTCAACTGTGTGTGGTTACTTGAATCATATACAAATGTCAGGCACAAAAATGTCTGCTGCGCTTTTGCTGTACTTGCATGTATGTCAGTCTTGTTTGTTAATACTTAGGACTTCTATAGCTTTGGTATTCTAGAGCTCTGGACTTCTTGAGCTTTTGTTGTTTGTACTCCCATACTTCTATATCGTTGGTTTTCTAGAATTTTTGAACTTTGGACTTTTAGGTTCGGCTTCTTGACTTCTGTAGAACTGTTCTTCTGGATTAAAGACTTCTGCTCTTTTGTGTCTTGAACTGCTGTCGTCTGGAATTACTGGCATTATGATGTTAATTATAAGTGTTTGTGTTTGCTTCTCTATTTCTGCTGCTCGTGTCTCTGTTTTTAGACTTGTCATTGAGATATTGATAGTTTTCGTAATCTTCAGTGAAACTTGAAAAGGTCTTAACTGCGTAAGTATTCATCGTTGAAACATGAATTATCTGTGTGACTCTATGACATAATTGAGTGTGGCAACAAAAGTGAGCTTCTTGTGTGTCGCTCACAGTTTGCTGGTACTTAAGAATCCTCCGTTAACGGCACCAGCATTTAGTTTCTACAGTCTGAAGAAGGCTCTTTAAAAATTCTTCAGGACTTCGAAATTCTGGTCACGGCACTAAAATTGACCTTTCACAGCTCTCTTATTTGTGTATATTGATATTACAACAGGTTTGTCTTGTGTTCGCTACAGGAGGAGTCAACTGGAGAATATAGACGATGAGAAAAGATAGTCGTGTCGATAGTGATAGTGATGATGATGATGATGATCTCTCTTGCTAGTTGCATGTTTCTCACGTTACTTTGATGCTCGAACAACAAAAATGTCTTTAAACAACTTTTTGTGTGCATAAACTGTCTTTATTGTGATACCCCAATAACATGACGAACATAAGTGACATTCGCACGGCGGCTGATTTCTCTCTACAGTTATATACCCTTGATGTCGCGTTTGTGTTTTCATCTCTAGTTATTTCCAAACTGGTTCTGTTCGTTATGACTGCCACCTGGCTGCTAGTGATACTTGGTACTAATAGGTACTCATCAACCCTTAAGATCTTAGTAAGGTTTCTACCAAATGTGTCTCTGCTGAAAATGCATCCATGTATCTTGTCTGTTGTCTCTGTAGTTCAATGTCTCGTTTCATGTCTCCTCTCTACTGACTGTATTTTAGGCTCTGTGTGATTGGTTCATCTTCTTCTAGTTGTCGTCTAAAAAAGGTAAAGTCGGGAGATCTGAACCAGCGTCATTGCACACGGTTATAAACCATAAGTGCTCTGCCAACAATACGGACAGCTGATAAGAATTGTCCGCCTGTGTTCCCGTTCGCACGTAACTGTGTAGCTACAGCGACGTTCCTCCTTTTACACCAGAGTGTCAACACTGGTACCAATTTTCTAGAGGCTGGTTCAAAACACCGACCGTGGGCTGCAGCGAGTCGCAGCTGGATTTGAAAGCGAGCCTCTTATCGACTGCGTTATCGCGATCTGCGAGGGTCCATGTGACTATTCCTTCTCCTTAAAGACAGAAAGCGACAAAAAGATTCAAAGATCCTATACCTTAATATTTTCAAAACTTAGCGTCTGTGTGCATTACAACATTTAAACCCACCTCTATATTTCAGGCAACATTGGAGCGGTTGTCTCAGGAATCGCATTTTTTCTGTGCTACTTGCCTAGCTTTTATTTAATGGGCCCTTTATTATAACATTAGTCGACGGAAGAAGCTGCCTTATTATCTTCTGTTTAACACGGCGATGAGCATGGCGGTATATGAAATTGGCTATTATGAAAATTTGGGTGAGGGTTTCATTTCTTCTTCTTCTTCTTCTTCTTCTTCTTCTTCTTCTTCTTCTTCTTCTTCTTCATCATCTTCATCATCATCATCATCATCTTCTTCTTCATCATCTTTTCACCATCATCATCATGATGATGATGATCATCATCATCTTCTTCTTCTTCTTCTTCTTCTTCTTCTTCTTCTTCTTCTTCTTCTTCTTCTTCTTCTTCTTCTTCTTCTTCTTCTTCTTCTATTCTTTTTCTTCTTCTTCTTCTTCTTCTTCTTCTTCTTTCTTCTTTCTTCTTCTTCTTCTTCTTCTTCTTCTTCTTCTTCTTCTTCTTCTTCTTCTTCTTCTTCTCTTCTTCTTTCTTCTTCTTCTTCTTCTTCTTCTTCTTTCTTTTTCTTCTTCTTCTTCTTCTTCTTCTTCTTCTTCTTCTTCTCTTCTTTCTTCTTCTTCTTCTTCTTCTTCTTCTTCTTCTTCTTCTTCTTTCTTCTTCTTCTTCTTCTTCTTCTTTTCTTCTTCTTCTTCTTCTTTCTTCTTCTTCTTCTTCTTCTTTCTTCTTCTTTTCTTCATCATCATCTTCTTCTTCATCATCTTTTCACCATCATCATGATGATGATGATCCTCATCATCTTTTTCTTCTTCTTCTTCTTCTTCTTCTTCTTCTTCTTCTTCTTCTTCTTCTTCTTCTTCTTCTTTCTCTTCTTCTTCTTCTTCTTTCTCTTCTTCTTCTTCTTCTTTCTCTTCTTCTTCTTCTTCTTTCTCTTCTTCTTCTTCTTCTTCTTCTTCTTCTTCTTCTTTCTTCTTCTTCTTTCTTCTTCTTCTTCTTCTTCTCTTCTTCTTCTTTCTTCTTCTTCTTCTTCTTCTTCTTCTTCTTCTTCTTCTTCTTCTTCTTCTTCTTCTTCTTCTTCTTCTTCTTCTTCTTCTTCTTCTTCTTCTTCTTCTTCTTCTTCTTCTTTATCTTCTTCTATTGTAATTACTTTCATTTTTGTTTCTGTGCCGATTCTTATATTAATTGTATTTCATTCATGAACATGGAAATTTGGTGTATACGTGATTTCGTCGCCTTTTTAGCTGTCAAAGACACTAGCTGGGGAAAAAAAAGTTTTCGTTGATATTTTATGTTCACATTAAACTTGTGTTTTTAGCTGTCAAAGACACTAGCTGGGGAAAAAAAATTTTCGTTGATTTTTTATGTTCACATTAAACTTGTGTTTTGCAGGACGGATATTTCTGTTCGAAATATTGAACACATCACAGGTGTAGTTACCGAAATTGTATTGGGGGCTGTATAAACTGCTGTGGTCGCCATGTAGCGGGTTCTTAGCAGAACATGGAACTCATCAGGGCACGTTGGCTATCCAGTGGATTCCAGTGCGCCTCGTAAACTGTTATGTCTAGAGTGTTCTTATTATCTTGTGCCCACCATCGTGCTGGTTGACTTCTGCCTCTTTTCTAGTTACTACATCCAACATTACTATTCTATCCAAAAGACAGTGCAGTAATAAAAAATACTAGCAGTAAAGAAACAACACATAATATTGTCATAGTTTAGGTAGTGTTTTTAAACATATTTATCATATCAGCATCATCACCATTATCATTGTCATCATCATCATCATCATTATTTTTATCTCATCAATAATTTATGCTTGTGCTTTTCAGCGTTGTGGGAAGGAACAGTTTACGACCCATTGCCTGATAGGCAGCAATGGCTATCTCATTATGTGTCAATGTAGAAGCTCTTTAATGTCATCAATCCATATTGTCCAAGGGTGGTCTCTTGCTTTCCCTTTATATATTTTCACGTGTAGCGCCTACGGTGGTTGTCGTTTTGGCTGGATTCTTACCAAATGACTAAACCATTTGATCTTCTGTTTCTCAACGAACTTGCTGCATGGTGTTGTTTATCATCATCAATCATCATCATTCAATTGTGTTACCTCCGAGCTGTGGAGTTTGGCTGTAGTGTATCCACAACTATGGTGTTGTAGCCACGAAAACAATTTATGACTAATAATGTGACTATTAGGCTTTCTCCCCCTGAAGGTGCCTCCACTGTAATGTGGTGGAGAAGTTTGGGATTCTCAGTAACCCCCCGTGCTATGCCTTTAGTAGCATAGCTACCAGCAGGGTCTTCCAAGCCAGACATGTCAAAAGGTAGAGAACAAGGGAGAGACAACCCGGTCCTCTAGTCTGGGGGTTAAGGAATGGGGTCGATACCTCCAACTTCGGAAAATTTAATGTCGTCCCCAAACAGATATCTGAGACACGAAATCGGATAGATTTGAACGAATGAAGGCACTTGACAGTTGGGGACTTTTTAAATTTGCAAGACGAGATGTACAAACCCTTTTTAGTGCGCTGTCAGCTGCAGAAATGGTCCGTGACTTATCAGATTATATAATCGACGAAACAGCATTTAAAGAAATGAGGTCGCCAGGACAAGGCACCCTAGAAAGTAGTGAAATCATCCTACCAGATAAATAAAACACTAGAAACAAACATGAACTAGGTACAGGATTTGTCATCAAGAAAAGTTCACGGAAAAGTATTATAAATTTATTATAATATCCTCTTGCAGCTATTTTAGTCTCAAGAAAGATAAACTGCTTTGTTTCTCGATCTTCTGGCCGCCTCGAATATCGACACAATGTGCTGTTGTAGGGTTTCTCTGATGTTATCTCTCCACGTTCTTCTTGGTCTACCTCGTGTTCTTCGTCCATCTTCTCTTTTGATGTATATTTTGTACTTCATGATGTCACAAGGTATATTTTTTTCTAAGTAGGAAAACTATTTGTCTTGCTGTCTTTGTATAGAGCTGATTCTGTGCCTGCTTTTGTTTCATTCTTGTGACATAATTCCTGATTTTACCTCTTCTGGCCGCTCTTGCAGCCCCTCTGACCTTCTGTGACGCCTCATTTTCATTGTTACTAATTTTCTTTTCTAGTTTGTTGTGAGTGTCCATGTTTGGAACTGGCAGCATAGGGCTGGAGTTTGTAGGAGATGTTTGTTTGTGCTGATCGTAATCGCCTTGTGTAAAAAAAAAAAGGGCTTGGGGGGGGGGGGGGGGGTGAGAGGAGGGGCTAGCTGTATAAAAACTTGTTTTTTTTTTTCTACTGCATCGGATAATTTCTTCATCTAATTTGCTATCTTTGGTGAATGTTGTTTCCAGATATTTAAACACCCAGAGACCCGTTTAACGTCTTTGCACTCTACTGTTATATTTAGGTCCGGCTGTCTTCTTGTTACTGTCATCACTTCTGTTTTTATTTGCCAGTTATGCCAAATTACAGGGGGAGGGGAGAATAAAAAGTTTCACAGTTTCCCTCTAGTTTCAGCTGCAAACCAATCACTTAAACCATCATCTGTTCGTACTGCACACTCGTCATGATTACTCTAACAATATTTATTATTATTTTTAAGCACTCAAAATGCCTGCTTAAAGTCAATGAAATTATAAAAAAATGGGTTTTTATTTGACAAAAAATTCCTCTAAACTAAGTTTCTAGATAATTATTTGGTGTAAGCAGCTTCTTTGAGGTCGAAAGCCTGCTTATTCGTCTCTCAAGAATTTGTCCACTATCGCTTTAATCCTGCTGAGAATTATTTATTACGGTCCGTAGAATTACCCTTCTTTGAATTTGAACAATTATTTCTTTCTTTTATTGACGTACCAGTCTCTTATCAACAAAAGAAAAGAATAATCAAATCAATTAAAAAGCCACCAAGACCGGCACAAGATGATTACCATTTTATGGACAGACCAGATCAAGTTATTATTCTACGCCTTAGAACAGGACACAATCGACTTCGCAGCCACATGTACACACAATTTAAAATCGGCGAATGAGCCATGTGCACATGTGGACTGGCACCTGAGATAACAGATTATGTCCTCTAAGACAGTCCCAAATACAACATATCAAGGGAAATCTTTTGGCCAAGAGAAACATCGGTGCAAGTTAAACTGTACGGGTCGCTGCGTGAATTAGAAAAAAAAAAAAAAACAGGAAGGTTCATACTAGAGACAACATTGCAGAGATAAATAATCGATTTCAAGCGAACTAAAGAAGAAGTTAATTTGGGATTCTACCCCCTCCCCACCCTTTTTCCTCCCCTTTCCCCCCTCCGCCCATATTCTATTAAACAAATCTTTCACTCGGTTTATAGTTACATCATCTGTTGCCTTAAGCATTTCTGCAATAATTTCCTCATCGCTTGCTGCCTTACTGTTCTATGAAGTAATGATTGCCTTCCTGATTTCATGTCATCTATCTGTCCTACCTTTATTGGTAAAATGATGATTTCTGAACCGTCATTAAAATTCATTGGTACCCGTGGACTGGGTCTTTTTAAAGTCTCAAGGAAGTGTTCTGCGCATCTTTTCTTCGGCTCAGTATCAGCTGTTCTTAATTTAGGTTTTAGCTTTTTTCCGACACGTTAGGTGTGGTCTTAACGCACGTCTGCTACTTTGTATGCTCGGACATCCACTAAAAAGCTTTTATATCTTTTCTTTCAGAAGTGGTCTCTTTGTTTGTCACCTCATCTGGTTAGTGTCTTGTTAGTTTATGAATTTAATAATGAGCAAAGATGGATATCTGCTAATCGCGTCGTCCCCTCGTGGGATGTAATTTGTCGTTATTTTGAAGCTCCACCCTGGCTCTTGCCAGGGGCCGCAATATAACCTGATGACGGAACGCAGTTTCCGGGACCTCTCCACGGGTGATCCTTATCCGTATGTTGACACTTTGTGTCAACGGTTGTTTATTGCTTGTGTTATGTACTAGTGGGGTAAAATCTACTACTACTACTAAAAAGATGGTGCCGAAAATTACTAGATCTGAGTGCATACAGAATTCAGCTAGTCTCTCTCTATTTTCATTGTTTGTTTTAACTCTTTCCCTTTCCAGTTCTCAATTAACACCCATATTCTCTATTAACACGTTGCCGTAAAATTTCCTGTTACTACCACTAGATCATGTTTAGCATTTTGTTTGTCATGTTTTTCGGTCTCACACTAACGGTCATTATTTGGAGTGTAACACTGAATGCTGGTCATTTCAATATGTCTAGTACTTAACAAGGCTCTAATCATTATGCTTGAAATGAGCTTCCATTGTCGCAGATATTTTGCAAATCTCTGTGTTATTATAACGCCTAGTCTGTCCATGGGTTTTCCATCTTCTCTCCCTGTATATAAAGGTAAGCACATTCGGCACTCTATTACCTGCTCCTAGCCATCAAATTTCACCCAACAAAGGGCGCATAGGTAGCTTCCATAAAAAAAAAAAAAAGCTGGGCATATGATAACACATCATCTCGTTTGAGAATGGAGGTAGAGGCAGTCACTGTAGCTTACCGTTAGTTTGAAAGTTACTTTGAAAACCATATGGGGTCACATATTGTAACTGTAACAGTGTGAGATCCGGGATCTTATTGTGAGAAAACAAGAACAGACCCACTGCCTCCCCAACAAGCAAGTCATAGGAGTCCACTAACTGTGAGCTTCCTTCGAAGTTGGAGTACATCTGCCCGAGCGGCAAGAACAACCATCTGCACACAAATAAGTCTGTAAAACGGATGTAAACGCACAATTTCAGACCCTCCCACAAAGCCAAAGTTCAAATGGACGAACAACCAACACTTTCCGCCGTAGCTTACAGTCGGCGAACAAAGAAAAAGTAAAGGAGGAAGAAAAAGAAGAGTAGAAGGAGGAGGAGGGGGAGGAGGAGGAGAATTCTGAGAACGACAGAGAAAAGCATGTTTAGTGCAGAGTGGCAAGCATCGCTCTAGAGGTCCTGGATAGTTAGCGTCCTTTTAGATATTTTGTTCCATGTTACACTTGTGTGCCGGGAAACGAACAGTTAAACAGATCGGCTGGTGCTGCACCACTGGATGGCGACTTGATCCATGACATTCTAGGTGTGGTCAGTGCCCATTAGGAGAAGTCAACAAGGCAGATGCATGAATAGACAGATCATTACTGCATGGAGAGAATAGTGTGGCAGGGAGTGACAATAGATCTGCCTGACATTTTATACCCAGAGGAAAGACACGACAAATATATAATCACATTACTACTAATACCACTGGAAGGGGAACTCTTCGCTAACCGCTGAAGACGAGGACAAAGTGCATATGGTAATGTTCTTAATGCAGTAATGTCGGTTCTTGATTCAGTTTAACGCAGCGCTGTAAAAATAAACGTCTCGTGCGTCAGTGCCAAGGTCTTCCGGCTAGACACTCACCTGCGGATTGGAAGGTAGTAGGTTCGGTTTCTGATGGGGGCTGGACTTTTCAAAAAATGACCTTAGATCCTAGGTCGACCCAGCCTTGAATAGGAACTATGCGCAATCCTGGAAAGTAAAGGCGACCGGCGTGATGCTGACCACATCATCTACCACTTACCGTTTGGTCTATAAAATATAGGTCTAGCCTTATATACCCAGTACGCACGAAAGACGTGGGAAAGGGTCCTTTACTTTTACTTCACATATCAGGAAGGTTATGAGTTTTGGGTTAGATTATCTTTACAGCACTGCGGACACATCCATAGGCGCTTAGACTCCCCTCTCAACATATTCCTCAGCGTCGCGCGGTTAATAGTACCAGTTCTACGTTGGTTAGCAAGACTTTGTGTTCATCCGGTGTGCTTCTCATGTTTGGCTATGCCGATCTTAACTCCCAATTCCCGCAGTGATGTGGACACGTTGCTTCCAAAATCCGCAGTACGTCCTATCTCTTTAAGGGCAGTGCGCGTGCGCGCGCGCACACACACAGCTGACTAGGCCTGAACCACTATGAAGACATGAGCAATCTGTTATCCATAACTTCGGTGTTTATTTGTATTTTTATGCTACTTAAACAGCTTGTATGATTTCATTGTTGCAGGGCAGGGAGCGACATGGGACAACCTGTTTTACAGACCGAAAGATAGCTTCAGCATTACTATACTTGACTGTGTGATAATGTTGCTTGTTAGCAGCACAATCCACATGATCATCACTTGGTACCTGGACAATGTCCGACCCGGGGAGTTTGGAGTGCCCAAACCATACCTCTTTTGCTTTATGGTATGCTGAATCGGATGTAATTTCTTCTTCTTTTTTTCTTGTGTGTGTGTCTGTGTGTGTGTGTAGTTCATTTGTCTTCTTTAGTTTTGTAGTAACAGATGTAAAAAAAAAAAAAAAGTTAAAGATCCCTTTTTACGCCTTGGGCGCATCGGGTATATGAGAAGAGCGTCCCATATTTTTACAGACCAGTCGGCACTGGGTGGGTAATGTGGTCAGCATTACGCCGGCCATCTTTACTTCACCAGGACAGCCATCCTGGTACCCATTTTAGGCTGGGTCGACCTGCGACGCCCTATACCATGATACAAATCCACGCAGCCAGCAGTGGGTTTCGATCGCGGTACGTTGAACAGATGTAAAGGTCTCTTTCACAGCCCTTGAGCGTGCTGGACCTATAGTTTAGAGATCAGTTTGTGGTCAGTGGGTGATGTGGTCGACATCACGCCTCCCACTTTGACTCTCTAGGACTTTACCTGGTAATCATTTTAGGCTGGGCCGACTTGGGAACCAAGCTGAAATAAACCAAAGCCTGCCTTGATGAGGCTGAAACCCATAACCTTCAGCTGCAGGCGAGCGTCTAGCCGTGTCCCCACGTCGGGTAACAATGACAGATGCTTATGTGTTATATTGATAGAGCGAGGAGCGGCTGGCCAGGTGATTACAAATTAGTGCTCTCCTGCGGACGACCCGGGTTCGACCCCCGGTAACGTGATGCAGTTTTATTGTCGGGAGAAAAATTAAACATCCCAACCTGTACATTCAGTACCGACAGCACTAGCCAGGCGGCCCTAAATCCTAAGACTCACGACCCCCCCCCCCCTTTCCACCCCCTGTCTACATCATCCTAAATGATGATGACCAGTCCTTTCATCCAATGGGGACTAGACTAGGTTTTTTGAGTGCGCAGAAGGCTGATAAGGCCAGTTCTAGCAATGAAAGTTCCCGAGCAGCGGGGACAGATAATTAGGGCTGTATCTCTGTAGTGATTTGCTTCAGTATTTCCTGGCTTGATTTTTCTGAATTGCTGCTGCAGTTCAAGCAGCTTCATGGACCACAGCTCTTCGATGAAGAGAGGAGAGCCAGGTTGAGTGGTCACATGCAGCGACTTCCTAGGTTTCAGGATCAATACACACAGACAGTAGTGACAGTTATAGTATTACCAGAGCATAGTTTTGTTTGTTGCTTTTCAGTAACATGTGTCTAGGTTATTTTTTATATGTAAGAAATGATAAGTATAACACAAAATATGACTAGAAAGCTCAACGGAGGACATGGAATAGACGTACACAAACACAACCGAACGTTTCAACCAAAGTCTTTATCAACGGAGTACTAAATACAGCACACACTTTTTGGCATTATGTAGTTTGTTTAGCCTACCAATAACATCGTGTATTTTATTTTATATGTGTAATTTGAGGTTCTTAACTTTTCAATAAAAGAAGTATGTTGCATATAGTTTGTGTGCAGTTTTAATATATATATATATATATATATATATATATATATATATATATATATATATATATATATATATATATATATATATATATATTATATGTGATATATATATATCACAAAATAAAATAAAAATGCATTCCACAAGGGGGCGACTTATTTAATAACCTGTTTGATTTGTGCATCATTTGTGCGATCATCATTTGGTTATTCACTAACTATTGGGATCATCATTTGGTTAGTCGACAAGTGTTGCATTCATTTTGTGGTTAGTCGACAACTATTGCGATCATCATTTGGTTATTCGACAGCTATTGCGATCATCACTTAGCTATTCACAAACTTTGGCGATCATTTGGTTACTGGACAACTACTGCAATCATCATTTGGTGATTTGCCAAATATTCGATCATAATCTGGTGATTCGCCAACTATTGCAATTATCCTTTGTTTATTCACAAACTTTTGCGATCATCATTTGGTGATTCGATAACTATTTGATCGTCATTTCGTTATTCACCAACTATTCGATCATCATTTGGTGATTCAATAACTATTCTATCGTCATTTGGTTATTCACCAACTATCGCGATGTTGTTTTTTTAAAATGGTTTTTCGCCATCTAATGCGATCATCATTTGGTATTCGTCATCTATTACGATCATCATTTAGTATTTACTAACTATTGTCATCATCATTTGGTATTCACTAACTATTGTCATCATCATTTGGTATTCACTAACTATTGCTATCATTATAAAATTGTTTTATTTATCATTGAGATCATCATTTAAGTATTCCCCTACAATTTCCATCATTATGCGGTTATTCCCAACTGTTGCGATCAACAATTGGTTATTCACCAACTATTGCGATCAACTATTATTTATTCACCTTTTGCGATCAACTATTGGTTATTCACCAACTATTGTTATTAACATTTGGTTAATCACCAACTATTGCGATCAGCTAATGGCTATTCACCAACTATTGTGATCAACATTTGGTTAATCACCAACTATAGCGATCCACTATTGGGTATTAACCAACTATTGTCATCATCATTAGCTTATTCACCAACTATTGCGATCACAAATAAAAAAATTAGATGCTGTCTCCACCATAAATGTTGGCTTCAACAGATCTCAAATATTATCTGTCGCTCGGCCTGGTTTCCATTCTCTAAGACTGCTGCACTTCCATCTCTTGATTGTGCTATGCAATCACCACTGTCTACCTTGAACTTTTCGCTGTGTCAATTTGTTTTTGTTTAAATAAGCATGATGCGTTTTCAAATGTGTCATAAATAGTTTCTTTTTTCGTATAATTATTTGTTTTATCGAGCACAAACAACTTTCATTCCCACTCATTTACTACTTGTTGAGATACACTTGCACTTGATGGTTTTCCTTCATTTTTTCGTTTCTGGATAGACTTTGTACAGATTTTGTTAATTGTGGACAAGGTATCATATCATTCACAATTTAATTTTTTTTTATTTTTTTTTTTTACATTTTTAGTTCAGTATTGCTGAGATACAAATGGAAGTCCGGTTTGGATTATATTTTTTGTTTTCCTTTGTCTGAATCTGAATAAATATGTGTTAGAACGGATCTCTGATTGCGTCTTTTCCCCAGTGGATTTTTAAAAACTGTTTTAAGAGTGGCCCTGGTGTTTTACGTTCTGAGACAGCGGGGCAGTTTAACGGAAGTGAATCATGGGTAGTCAATTTACTGATGATTTATTTTGTGGAACTTTTAAATAGTGGGTTCACAAAGGAATTATGAAAACAACATACACATGTATCGAGGGGGAAACAAAATCAGTAGTGAAGATATTTTGAAAGAATCTACATGAGAAAGAGATCTAGGTGAGAAGTTAGCAATTCGCATTCATTGCGAGCATGATTGTCAACATAATAAAGCAGGCACGGACAATGAGAGACTGAACTTTTGGAATTAATTATTGTTCTCTTGGTAATTTTTCTGAGCTCTTTCTGAAATATGCTCCGACTTTCATTTGCACTGACATTTCGGTGTAACGCATCTTGTATATTTATGTATTGTCCGTTGTTTTAAATAATAAATATAAAATGCGGAACATGTAAATTCAAAGCATCAATCAAATACATAGATTATTAAAGTGTTCTGTATGTTAAATGTTTTAACTGAATATGTCACATATTTCAAACGTTTTAATTCAAAGGGTTGGGTATGTTTGTTTTGAAAAAAGAAGAATCAAATTAGTGAAATTAATATAATTGACAGTATCAATTATAAATTAGAGTGCCTTAATATAAAGTTTCAAATATTGCTTTAAATTTTTTGATGTAAAGTGTAAAATCTGTATGGTGTCAAGTACTACTAAAAAGGTTTGAAACATTTTTGTACATCAGAAATCATACTGGTTCCGATCTGACAATGAACAAAAAGACAGCGTTAGTTTTGATCTACCCCAAGACAGATTCTTCGAGAAGGAGCCGACCGAAAGAGGCGCAGGAATACGCATCTGTAATCTGCGAAAGGTACGTGGACTGTTATGATGGGATACTTGGAGCTTTTAATTAGTTTACAAAGTTAAAATGATGATCTTATCTATTTTATAAACACTGGCAGGTGACTATTTTGGTCAAGAGAGCATAAAGCACAAATAGTCAAACCCCTTGTCCTTATCCACACAATACCCTTAGTAATCTTGTGTCTCTCCCTATAGAGCCCCGACACTTATATAAACCGCCATTTCTCCCGTCGCCATCTCTGCTTCGGGGTAGGGAACTTGAAGGAAGTGCAGCTCAGGTTGTCCCTTGAAGGTACCCCCTCGGCCACCCAGGGTAGGACAGAAGAAGAAGAACCCACCCCCTTCCACCCCACTTAGAACGACCAAATGTTAGACAAACTAATGGAGGGAAAGTGGGGTAATTATTCCCCGGCATTCCGGGCGAGAGACTATCTGCCGACGGCCATAACCACGCCATAAGGCGAGTCAGTCTACTCGGTCCTTGTTCAGGTCTAGTTAGTTCCCCCGTAAGAAATGTGGCTCGTATGTCAGTCATACCTACAACGACCAGTGATTGACACCTGAAGCCACAGATTAGCTTAATACATAATCAGACATACCGCTTGTTTGTGTTTGTTTAATCAACGGATCAACATCATCGCACACGGGTGTAACCGCCAAGTTCTCTGTTCTTTTTCTAAGTCAAGCATGAGTCTGAAGAAACACAGCGCAGTGCACGAACTGTTGCACTGGCGAGGATCCTGAAATACTGTGGGTAGATTTTTACCTCTTTTCGATTTCCAATTAAGTTGAAATACCCAAAGTAATCCTCAAAAGAAGAAAAAACAGAACACACACACAAACACACACACACACACACACACACACACACACAGAGAGAGAGAGAGAGAGAGAGAGAGAGAGAGAGAGAGAGAGAGAGAGAGAGAGAGGTTCACAGACTGGGACCCACCATCACAGTTCTGTGACTTTCCGCGAGAATTCGCAGCCTGGCTTTCCCGCACCTTTCCATGAGGGAAAGTCTCTGTGTGAAACTTCCAGCTTTTATCAGAGGAATAAGGAAACTGCTTTAAACTCCCCTCCCACTGGACTGCCCAATTATAACCGTTAGTCAGTTGTTTAGGATTGCCCCAGGGTTCTCCACTGTCTCCGGTTCTGTTCAGAGGGTATAGTTAAATGGAAGTGGCAGGGCTCCGGTTATTTGCTGCTGATATCTTTGTGGAGCCAAAAGATACCTTCTTAACTTTGCGACAGTGCACCACACGATCAACATTTGGCTCGCTCGCTCATACTTGAAGATAGGCCCAGATCTAAACCAACATTTGAACCACATGCTCTTCAGTAAAGACGGAAACATTCAAAAAATGGGCAAATCATGGCTGTATTCAAATAGGTCTGCAGTCTTACAGATATCCACCCTAGTGAAGAGTTGATACCTGTGTTCCGATCGCTCAGTTGCACTTTTTACTGTGTTGTCACGCTTTGGAGCAGAATCCTGTTGCTGTTAATGCAGAGATCCACTCAGTGACAGTTCAGACGATGCCGATGTGCTGATCTACACAAACAGTTCCCTTATAGGAAGACACAGAAGTGCCACAGCAAGCCCCAAAAGCAGAACAGTCAAGGAAGCTAGATGTGCCTTCTCTATGATTTGTAGCAGCCTGCATGACGATTGAGTTTGGTACAGCCAAGTACGAGAGGCATACTAGATGTACGAGAGGTCTTGTCAACCAACACAGGACTGCTTCTATTAACCGTGAGAGGCTGCTGTATAATTTGAAATGAGAGTTTTCGAAGCGCCATGAAGATAAAGTACAATTGGTTGGATTTCGCAGTTAAAATGTTCTTGGGGACGAAATCGAAAGCTCCTGACGTGCACAGTATGTTACAACATTACCATTCATTGTTTCCTCATTTGACTCAGTAAAACACCAAAACTGAATGACATTTTCTCTAAAGTAATAAAGGAACGTTCATTTACAATGTTATGGCTGAATTGCCAGGAGTTTGGAAAACGAGTGGCTGTCGCAGGGACCTCGCTGAACTTGTATGAAGGGCAAATAACTGTATTGCTGGGCCCCAATGGAGCCGGAAAAACTACGACTATGGCAATGCTTACAGGTGAGTTGAGTTATTTATGCAATTTTCGATTTTAAAGTCAAGCATAAACCATGGACATCTGGAATTAGGGCTTGTGAGTTCAGTTTCATAATCAGACATATAATGGTTCAACATCAGATGCTGTCGATTCTGTAATGCTGAGGTGAATTCATTTTGAAAACGGTATAAGCGTTGTACTTCTTAAAAAGGCAGTGAGAAATGTATGTGTTTTGAACTGTTCATGTTTTGAACTTCATTTTATGTTGGTGTGAAGTTTATAGGAATTCATTATAATAAATACAGAGATACAAACAAGACAATAAACTGTTGAAAGTATTCTTCAAGTCCTCATTATTAAACAAAAATCCCTCTCCCGGTCCTCAGGGTTCATCCCTCCAACCAGTGGAACTGCTATTGTGAATGGCTATGATATTAGAACAAACATGGACGAGGTTCGCCGCAGTCTGGGACTGTGTCCTCAGCACAATATCTTATTTGACACGATCACCGTCTCGGAACACTTGCAATTCTTCTCTAAGGTAAGGTTTCTAGTTACATACAGTTGTTTCCTTTCACTGAAAATGTCATGTTGCAAAAATTACCTTTGTATCTTACATTCTTACTTCTTCTTCTTTCGTTTGATTGAAATAGATTAGCTACATTTTTGCGGCGTTCGTGGCTAAGACGTTGCGAGTCCGACTCGTGAGCCAGCATACCGCGATGGAAACCCACTGCAGGCTGCGTGGATTTTTGTCGTGGTATGGGACGTCGCAGGTCGACCCAGCCTAAAATGGGTACCAGGATGGGCTGTCCTGGGAAAGTAAAGACAGCCGGCGTAATGCTGACCACATTACCCACAGAGTGCTGATGGTCTGTAAAAATATGGGACGCTCTGCCTATATGCCCGATGCGCCGAAAGGCGTGAAAAGGGAACTTTACTTTACTTTACATCTGCAATATTGTCTCTAGTATGAACTTCACTGTCTCTAGTAATTCACTCAGCGAGCCTCCTAAAGTTTGAATTGCACTGATGTTGCTCTTGGCCAAAAGTTTTGCTTCGATATGTTGTATTAGGGACAGTCTTGGAGTACATGATCTGTTGTCTCAGGTGCCAATCCACATGTGCACATGGCTGATTCGCCGATTTAAAATTCTGTGTACATGTGGCTGCGAAATCCATTGTATCCTGTTCTAATTCTCAGTACTATCCATTCTGTGCTTCCTACGGTTTTTCAGAGTGGTTTTTTTTTTTTTTCAATATTTCTTTTAATGAATTAAAAGTTACAAACACTTCTTTCTGTTCATGAAATCCCACATACATACATACACACACACACACACATACACACATACACATACACACATACATACACACATACATACATACACACACACAGAGACAGACAGACAGACAGACAGACAGACAGACAGACAGACAGACAGACAGACAGACAGACAGACAGACAGACAGACAGACAGACAGACAGACAGACAGACAGACAGACAGACAGACAGACAGACAGACAGACAGACAGACAGACTAAATTTATATGCACGCATGTTTCAGATGAAGGGTTACTCCAGCCCCACTCTGAGCAATGAAATACTTGAGCTGGCCACGAAAGTTGGCTTGGAAGGTAAACTGAACACCTATGCCATAAACTTATCTGGAGGGCAGAAAAGGAAGTTGTCTGTTGGGATCGCTCTTATAGGAGGCTCTACGGTACGTCTTGTGTCTGCCCATTGAAACTGTACTAAACTGTTACCAGTCGACCTGTATGTGGTTCTGCCATCAACATCATGTAACCAATATGGCGAAAAGACACGATGAGGTTTTAGTCTTGGCAAGTTATTTGTTTCAGGCCTTGGTTAGTTGGTGTATTTCCCCCTCCCCCTCCTTTTCCGCCCCACCCACCCTTCTTTCCATTAGTGGACTAGGCGTTATAGTTTCGTCGATACACTACTGAGTTAATTACATGATGCAACACTGTGACTGATAGTAGTAGTAGTAGAAGTAGTAGTTGCGTAGTAGTGTAGTAGTGTAGTAGTGTAGTAGTAGTAGTGTAGTAGTGAAGTAGTCGAGGTTTTAACTTTACTGCAATCAGATCACCCCATACATTCTCAACTCCCGTGTCAGAGAAAGTCAAATAAAATATCCATCACTTTCTCATTTAAAAAAATTGATTACAAAAAGACACACCTATATCTGAATGACGTATTGTAGTCAACAAGACTTACTTATATCTGAATGACGTATTGTAGTCAACAAGACTTACTTATATCTGAATGACGTATTGTAGTCAACAAGACTTACTTATATCTGAATGACGTATTGTAGTCAACAAGACTTACTTATATCTGAATGACGTATTGTAGTCAACAAGACACACCTATATCTAAACAACGTATCGTACTCAACCAGATACACGTATAGCTGAATGCCGTAGTGTAGTCAGCAAGACACACATACATATGAATGACGTGTTGTCCTCAACAAGGCATACCTATATCTGAATGACGTATTGTCCTCAACAAGGCACACCTATAGCTGATTGACGTATTGTCTTCAACAAGGCACACCTATAGCTGAATGACATTCTGTACTCAACAAGATACACCTATAGCTGAATGACGTGTTATCTCCAACAAAACACACCTCTATCTTAATGACGTATTGTCCTCAACAAGATACACCTATATCCGAATGACGTGTTGTCCTCAGCAAGACACGCCTGTAGCTAAATGACGTATTGTCCTCAACAAGACACACCTATATCTGAATGACGTATTGTACTCAACAAGATAAACCTATATCTGAATGACGTATTGTCCTCAACAAGGCACACTTATATCTGAATGACGTATTGTCCCCAACAAGACACACCTATATATGAATGACGTATTGTTTTCAACAAGATAAACCTATATCTGAATGACGTATTGTCCTCAACAAGGCACACTTTTATCTAAATAACGTATTGTACTCAACAAGTCACACCTATAGCTGAATGACATTTTGTACTCAACAAGACACACCTATATCTGAATGACGTGTTATCCTCAACAAGACACACCTATAGCTGAATGACGTTTGTCCTCAACAAGACACACCTATATCTAAATGACGTCTTGACCTTAACAAGACACACCTATATCCGAATGACGTGTTGTCTCCATAGGTGGTGATATTGGATGAACCCTCATCTGGCATGGATCCAGCCGCTCGCCGCCAAACCTGGAGTGTTCTACAGGAAGCTCGCCAAGGTAGAACTATCTTACTGACCACTCACTACATGGACGAGGCGGATATTCTCGGTGACCGCATCGCCATCATGGCCGGCGGTGTTGTTAAATGCTGTGGCAGCTCCATGTTTTTGAAAAAGCTGTACGGTGAGTCCTGTTAACGCCTTTTTTTTGGCTTTGTTACACTTTTTGTTTCTATGGGAAGACAAATGGCCTGTGGAAGAACTGTCAAGTATTCGCAGAAATGTGACATCTATTCATTGTTAGAATACCTCATCATCATCATCTAGTTTTCAGAACTTTGCTGTTACCTGGCACATTGAAAAGCCCCGTATTCACTTGCTAGTTTTCCCGCTTCGTAAATTTTCACACAAAGGGTGTCCTTGATATGTCTATTGTCGATCCCTGCCTATTCTTCCAAGAACCATACTCCTAATACATCTTCATGTTTCTTTAGTGTAATTAACTTTTATAACTGTTAAAACTCTGATCTTAACAACCAGTCGTGGGTTTTTAACCTCAAAAAAAAAAAAACAAAAAACAAAAAAAAACACGAATTCTGTGATTTCTAAATGGTTGACAAATAGTTAAAGAAAAGCTAGCGTTTGATGCACTATCAAGTTTTCGAATGGAAGTGAAGGCAGTCAGTGCAGCTTTCTGCTGCTAGCTTCAGATCGCGTTGTGATGAACTCACAATGGATGCTAAGAAAGATAAACTTATACTTCTTGAAGAGTGCTTTTCATTTGTTTAGAGATAGCAAATAGTGAAGGTCCTGTATACTAGCAGAGGGTGTACTAGGGTGCGGAGAAGCAAACAGGCAGACGCATTGGCTGGATAGTACCACTTGGTGGTGAACTGATGCATGACACGTAGATGTCGTCAACGACCTTTAGGAGCAATCGAACACAGCGGAAGAATGAATAGATTATAAGAGTTTGCAGAGAAGTATACAGGGGGAGTAACCACAATTTCTAGCTGATGCTCAACACTCAGAGGCAATGCAAAATGGATACTGGGTAACTATTCCCATTGATATGATTTGACTGGGTCGAGCGACGAAGATTCACAAGGCTCTGTTTGTGGCTCGTTTGGTCTCCTCAAGAATGGACATCTGACTCTGTTGAAGTATGTCTTGAATGCGTTCTTTTTGTGTTACTTTTTAGTCTACTTCAGGTGGAGTCATGGGAAGTAAAGGCGGTAGGCATGATGCTGCCCACATAACCCACCATGTGCTGACTGGTTAATTTGAAAAAAGAATAGGTCTAGCCCTGTGTGCCCAGTACGCTTAAAGGGGTGAAGAAGGAAGAATCCTTTACTTTTTACTTTTTATTAGTCTGCTTCGTACCCTACGCAGCTCTCCTCTTTTTGTATATACTTATAACATCTCAGTGTATTCTTTCTAAATGCGGCACCAACTTCAGGTGCTTGTGTTCGACATTCATTATTGATTCTAATATGATCTCCTGTTCTGATCACATGTGTGACTTTTTTCTCCTCCGGTCACTGTCACAAGCTTCGTAATACGAGGTCTGTTTAGTAGATTGCAGGAGTGAAGTTTTGTTTAGTAAGTGAGTAGAACCACCAGTGAGTAAGGTGTATCTCCTTCAAATTAGTGCCCTTTCAAATGTGTGTGTGAGTGCATGCGTGCATGTGTGTGCGTGCGTGCGCGTGTATGTGTGTATATGAGAGAGTGAGTGAGTGTGTGTTGTGTGTTTATGTGGTGTGTGTTTGTGTGTGTTTTTGCGCGCACGCGCGTTTCATTAAAAAAAAGTGGAGGTCCCTTTTCCACGCCTTTAGGCGTATAGGGCATATAGGGCTAGACCTATATTTTATAGACCAATCAGCAGAAGACGGGTGATGTGTTCAGCATCACACCAGCCGCCTTTACTTCCCGCTACTGCACCCGGTACCCAGTCGACCTGGGAGCACGTGTCATTTTAGTGGTTACTTAATTTCGTTTCTGGATTAATGTGAGTGACAGTCTCCGGCATTCGCCTGGAACTGAATGAATTCAAACAAAAATCACTTCTCAGGTGCCGGATATCACTTAATTGTTGAAATCAAACCCACCTGCGCCATCAGCACCTTGACCAAGGTCATCCAGTCAGTCATCCCTAAAGCCACCCTGGAGACTGTTGTCAACACGGAAGTAACATACCTGCTCCCTGACAACGAGTCCAAGAAATTTGCCGATTTGTTTCGCTTGCTGGACACCGATATGGCGCGCCTCCACATCATTAGCTATGGGACCTCAGCTACAACGATGGAAGAAGTATTCGTAAAGTAAGACTTTATATATGTCCTTGCTGGGTAGGTCGGCGACTGTGGCTTAGGCGTGGCAAACGAGCTTCGTAATGCCGGGATGCTGGGTTCGATTCCAACTGCAGACCTTGCGCCTTGCGTTGGTTTCGACAGTGGTATTGAAAAGCCGACCGCCCTGAGAGCAATGGCAAACAACTGGAAGTGAATTTGCCTAGAAAAACCATTACAGCCAAAAAAATAATGTTAGGGTTGGTACTGCAACGTCCTGTAAAGGATACGTAACTAACTTTGCTAACTTTTCACCTCATGCTTTATTGACAAAACTAGCTGACCCGGCCACGCGTTGTTGTGGCCCAGAATGGTGAAATGGAGAGGAAAGAAAATAGCTCTCAGCTAACAGTGTCTGTCGTATCCCCCCCCCCCTTTCCCTCGACCCAGTCATATCTCCCTATCCGAAGGATTGAAAAATCATCCATGGAGAAATTATTGAAATAGAAAAAGCTAAGAAATAAGAACATTAAAATAATATTTTATGCTCTCTCAGCTAACTGTGTTGGCATAAACCCCCCCCCCCTTTTCCACCAATCATATCTCCCTCTCCGAAGGATTGAAAAATCATCACCTGGCGAAATTATTACAATATAAATAGTTAAGAAATGAGAACTTAAAAATAATATGTTAAACTCTCTCAGCTAACTGTGTCTGGCATAATCCCCCCCCCCCCGCCCCCTGGTTCAGTAATAATATCTCCCTCTCCGTAGGATTGAAAAACCATCACCTGGCGATATTATTAAAATAGAAATTGTTAAGAAATGAGAACTTTAAAATAATATAATAAGCTCTCTCAGCTAAAAGTGTCTGTCATACCCAACCCCCCCCCCCCCTCCCCCTCGACGCAGTGATATCTCCCTTTTCGAAGGATTGAAAAATCATCCATGGCAAAATTATTAAAATATAAATAATTAGGAAATGAGAACTTAGAATCAATGTGTTTAGCTCTCTCAGCTAGCTGTGTTTGGCATAACCCCCCCCCCCCCCCCCTAAACCCCCTTCCACCAATGATATCTCCCTCTCCGTAGGATTGAAAAATCATCACCTGGCGATATTATAAAAATAGAAATAGTTAAAAAAAGAGAATATTAAAATAATATTTTAGGCTCTCTCAGCTAACTGTGTCTAGCATAACCCCCTCCCCCTCCGCCACCCCAATCACATCTCCCTCTCCGAAAGATTAAAAAATCATCACCTTGCGAAGTCATATCTCCCTCTCCGAAGGACTGAAAAAGTATCCATTGCGAAATGATTAAAATAGAAATAGTTAAGAAATAAGAACCTAAAAATAATATTTTTAGCTCTTTCAGCTAACTGTGTTTAGCATAACCCCCTCCCCCCTCCCCCCCCCCTTTTCCACCAACCATATCTCCCTCTCCGTAGGATTGAAAAATCATCATCTGGCGATATTATTAAAATAAAAATTGTTAAGAAAAGAGAATATTAAAATACAATTTTAAGCTCTCTCAGCTAACTGTGCCTGACATAACTCCCCCCCCCCCCCCGCCCCTTCCCCCTCTCCCTAGTCATATATCCCTCTCAGAAATATTAAAAATCATCACATTGCGAAGCCATATCTCCCTCTCCGAAGGACTGAAAAATCATCCATAGCGAAATTATTAAAATAGAAATAGATAAGAAATGAGAACTTTAAAATAAAATTTTAAGCTCTCTCAGCTAACTGTGTCAGGAATACCCCCCTCCCCCACCACCACCCCTTCCCATATTTCCCTCTCTGAAGGATTTAAAAATCATCACCTGGCGAAATTATTAAAATATAAAAAGCTAAGAAATCAGAACGTTAAAATAACATTTTAAGCTCTCTCAGCTAACTGTGTCTGACATAACCCTCCCACCCCTCCCCCAATCATATCCTCCTCTCCGAAGGATGGGAAAGTCGCCGTGTGACGAAATATTGTAACTAAATTGAGCTTGGCATCCGTGTCCACCCAGACTTGAATAGGTAGCATTAACTTGTACAGAGAAGTAAATGTAGCCTGTGTAACAGCTACCACATCACCCATCCAGTACCAGTACTACTGCAACCACTATCACCACCACCATCACAACAACAGAAACAACAACAACAACAGCAAAAACTGTCAATACAGTCTGTGTAGGTTGGTGTAGAAAAGAGCAGTTTGCACCGC